CCCCGTTTATTCCGATCCGGACTTGTTGGGGGGGGGGGAGGGGGTTATAATCAGAACCCCCCATTCTGTCTTGAGCTTAGCCTGGGCCTGCATTGCCTGCATGCTATCGGTATGCGTGTGTCTGTTGCCATGCCTTGTCAGCAGCTCTCTGGTGAACAACAGCCGGTTGGAGAAAGCTCGGCCGAGAACAACGGTAGCAACATTGCCCATGGCAATGTTGCCAGCAATTTTGAATAACCTGCAGGCTTATGCGACCTCATTCATCTCCAGCTATCTATTGTGCAATCAGCATCCTCAATGCAAGGTCTTCTCTGTCCCTCTGTCTTCCAAGCGCCCCCGCCGGACGCATTTCTCGAAGGCCTCGCCGAAGTGGCTGCCAATCACCAATTCCTGCGTAATGTCACATCATGCCGCGATTGCTCATGCAAGACTTCTGTGACAACTCTGGGGCAGCTAACGATGAGAAGACAGTCCAATGTCCAATCCAAGCATACCAAGGGCTCGCTAGCATCAAATCGCACGGCACCAACACCACACTGATTCTTGAAGCCAGCTGCATTCAATTCTATTGCCTGATCCGTGTACCGTGAGGTGAATCAGTGGGCCTCCATACCCTCCAGGCCGACATGGGCCACCTCTTTACATCGAAGGACGAGGTCAGCCTGGCCCAGTCCATGCACAAACGGCCGATCACGATGCTGAGGCTCGGAATGCAGCATGTCAGAACGCTTGGACTTCTTGCCCTGTCCTACTTCATGTTCAAAGCGTCTCCACCTTGAACCAAACTTGGCAAGAATTCTTCAACAAACCTGGTCACCGGCCTCTTCGATCTCGTTCGGAACACCCCGCGGGGTCGCACAGATCTGAGTGTCCTTTTGGCGAATCACGAACCTGACCACTCCGCAAGGCTGAATTCCTTACGCCTTACGCATGCGGAAATGGCGTAGGATCATTTACGGAAATGTTCTGCACTCTCATGCGATGGCTCAGTTGCACGAAGATTTCGGCAGAAACATTTTGTTGTAGAAAGGGTGAGGTTACTCACAGATTGTTGAAGTCAATACCAACTTGTGGAGGGTCCCATTGTACCTAAGTAAACCGTATACAGTGCAGATTCTAGAGACTATACCTGGCTACATCCTGTTCTCCTTCCGTGTATCTCCAGAGTCTGATCCAGAGCCGCGAATGCTGGCACTTCGCAAACTGGCTGCAATGACACGGGCACAAGATGGAGCCCAGGGATGAAGACGATAGCGCTTAAAAATTCAACACAGAAGCATTCTCTGAAACGTTATTCAGCCGTTTGTCAAGGACCTCCAGAACAGAACCCCAAGCGGCGCACGAAAGTCTCTTGTTCATTGTTGCATCGCAGGTTGCAGGGCTTGCGCCAAAACGGCGGCACTGCAGACAAGGAGCTGCTCCGTGTCCTCGCACTTCACCTGTCAACATGGAATTGGGTTCGAGAGCATATCCAGGTCTGCCTCTTATGGAGGCTCTTGAAATAGCTTGAAAAAAAGCATGAACGAACTTCAAGGACTATCATCCTACACAGCATGAACTTCAAGGGCTACCAGCGGGCCTCGGCGAATGGCTGCACGCACTTCTCGCTGCCATCCTGTCGGCCGAGGAAGATGGCCTCAACTCCTGGCTTTACTCGATTCGAAGGGTGATGGATGGTTCCATGAACAGGCTCCAGGTTTGAAGGTGCAGGGCTTGGAGTTTGGAGCATCAACTACCAAGCAAAATGGGGTACCAGCGAGACTTTGCTTAGCGGCCCAAGGTCTCCAAGAAGTCCCATCCCGAGCAACCCCCAAGTCCTGCTTAGAGAGGAAAGCATGCAGAAATCAACGAAGCTAAGCTGACTGCTCAAATGCCAGGAGTCCCAGTGCCATGCTTCATTCCTTCATCGCTACTGATAACCAGCAAGGTCAAGCCCCGACACCTCCAACTCTTTGACCCTTCTGCGCCTTTCTGCTTTGGCCCCTCCAAGTTGGCCGTGGTTGGATTTGGGCAAAGGAACTCCAGATCTAAACCTAGGCTGGCTTCAGGTATTGCAGCTTAAGACAGGCACAGGCTTCAATCTGCAGAACTGCTTGACTCAACCAGGATGCCCCAAGCTCCCGGTTGATCCACGCGCTCGACACAGATCTCTTCACCTATCAGCCATCCGGGATACGTCAAGGCAGGTTCAACAAGGTTGAAGCCAACCTTTCTGTTTCCAAAGTGGTAGCTCCAGCTCATTATCCAAATCCAAACCCGGCCGATGGCGTCCTGCAAAACTATGCACAACTAAGTCTTGCTCGGCTATCATCCGTGCACACACGCACATATCACAAGGTGGCACACTGACCAAGCCCTGTTCAAGTGTCCAGAGCAACAACAGTAACGTGCAAAACTGCTAGTAGCCTGTGCAGACAGGCCTACGAATGGCCTAAAGCCTTGTGCGGCCAACCTATGGAGTCGAAAACAAGAGTTGAGTGACTTAGGCCGGCCTTTTGCGGTGACCAGGAACCTGTCATTGTAGATGTCACTACGCCGGTTGGCGGCCTTGCAAACGCACATGCAATTACCAGGGCAGCGGTTCTTCTCCTTCTCGAAGATTTGCTGCAACATTACAATTGTGAAGCAATGTCGAAATTTGCTTGCGATTGCATATCAGTTCTACGTGTGTCGCGCACCATGACTAGTAGCATCTTATATTCAAAACAATGCTGCGTGCGTTCTATCAGCCGACTGCTTGGTACAAACATGCACGAAGCTTTTGTTCTGATTGGACTCTTTCTTTCTTTCTTTCTTTCTTTGAGGGTGTAAGGGGGTACTACTACCCCCCCAGGGCCCAGCCCTGCACCCAAGTGTCCACGCTCTCGCTTGGTCGGTACCCGGAGGAACGAGCTTGTATGAAAGAAGCCAAGGATCATCATCATAAACCATAAGTGATTGGACTCTTTCTCTCTCTCTCTCTCTGCTGGCTTGCAAAGCTGTGCTTCGCTGCAAAGCGCCAGTGCCATATGGCCCGCCCAAGCAGCGCAACCAATGGAGTATGCATAGAAAACTCAAGGGGCCTTAAGCCCAGAACCTACAAGGGATTCGTGCATCCCAACTACTTAAAATCCTCTGGTGAGCATCCATCGCACAAAATGTGGCTCACGTGCTCTCCATGCATCCCGACTCTGTGCCAACTGACTTCTGATTGGACTGCAAACAACTCTGTTGTATTTCTGCCGTTGTCAGGCACCATCCAAGGTTCAGAGCTGCCCTTAGACCGCATGCTGATGTCGACCGTGCAGCCGAGGCACTTCGGGGTGGCACTGCACTGTGTGTGGCGGCCTGCTTTTCCAAGGCACCAACGGGCTTCTGAGTGGAGTCACGGCGTTTTGCAGGATTTGTCAGGGCGATCCTTATAAGACAAATCAGAGTAATCAAAAAGCAGCAACGAAAACCAGACATGTGCAGCACCCTTGTGCGAATACGTCTGATACACCATTAAGAACATGGAAGATTGGAACAGCTGACTCCCATCACCCCAAACTACGGGCAGCTTAAAGCCCCTTACACGAAGCTGTAGATCCAAAAGCGGGCTGCAACCAAGGGATCCCCCAAGCATTGATGGACCATTTGGGTCTCTCATTGACCATGCAGCTGACCATCCCATCAGGAGACTGGGTGATGCTGCACGGCAAAGCTGTTCGGATAACAGGCTACAGCTGCTTTACAGAGAAGCCACAGCACATTCAGATGGTCCCGAGGTGCCAAATACGAAGTGGCACAAGAAGGACGCAATGTTTGACTCACATGCTTTCCCAAGAAAAAGTCTTCAGGCAGCCCTGGCAGAGACCTAATTAATTATGTACTATACTCTAGTATAATGTAAAGATACTATAGAATAATGTACTAGTTTATACTTTACTATACTATGTCAAAATATAGTATAGTCTATTATAGTATACTGTACTATATTAGAGTGTACTACACTATATTATCATGTAGTGTAGTATATTATAATATAATGTATTATGGTGCACTATGCGATCTATACTCTAATCTAGTAGCCTTTCCCCACCAGCTCCTGCCTGATGCATTTCGCGGAATTGTTCCTGTTTGCTCCCACGTGCACGATGTGATAGCCCGGCCGCAAGGCGGCCTTAGCCTCGCAACACTCTGAAGGCAACCAAATGATGTAAATATGAAATGTCAAACTCACGTGCAAGAAATGTCCTGAAATCCTAGATGCGCATGTTGAAAGGGGAAGGCTACTATCTAAAGGGTCAGTCGTAGAGAGCACGATTTATCGGCATAGGAGAACGTGATTGTTCGTTTTCGCCTTCAGGCCAGCAGAAACAAAGAAATCTCTCGCCAAGCTTACCAGGGCAAACAATCCTGCTTGTATTCCTATGGCAAACTGCGGCAGCTAGCAGCTACAGGAATACAAACAATATTTGGCTGCTAGCTGCTGACCTCGCCTGAGAAGCGACCGAAATCTACAGACCAAGCCTTTGAGGTCTTTCGCTTCTTCTCGTTGTCCTCCTCCACCGTCACTCCTGCATCAAAGCTGATCACGAGTCCAGGCGAATTGCAAGACGATGTCTAAACCCAACTTCTATCAATGTCGCAATGTCGCAATGTACAGTTGCAACTCCATCCTATCAGGACAGGACGCGTTCGTTCCACGGAGTTGGCAAACAACCCTGAACCGCGCGTCTGCACAACAGCTACCTGCCCATCCAGCTGGCCTTCATCCTGAACCAATTGCATATAGACTTGGAAGTAGATTAAGTATCACTCGCAACGGCCATTGCAGGTCCTTTGTCGGAGCTTACGGAGACACCCTCGCGGAGCGGTAGTCTTCGCATGTAGCCTTAGCGAGCAATTGTTTTGTAAAGGCCTTTTTGGATATTCGGCTCCCGTGTACCGTCAAGGTCCCCCGGACTGTCATGATTCAATCGTCGTGTTCTCCTTTGCACGCAATCTTGGGGAGGGGTGGGGCTTTGTCTCTGAACACGGTCTCCCGAATTAATTCTGAGCTTGCCAGCTCTCGCAACGAATCTGATGCCAAACGCATCGGTAAACCCACTTGATATGATGCAAAACTTCAGCCTCACTACTGTAATCTCGTAATCTGTGGCCAGCGGCTTGCCGGAAGCAGCTCGATCGTCTTTCCAGGCAAATCAATCTCCTAAGCAGGGTGCTGGGGTCCATAGAGATAGCTGTTAGGGCCCCAGGGGCCATGCAACAAGGGCTCTCAGATGCTCTCAGCTTATGGGCAGCTAAACGCTTTCCTACAAGCAGGAAAGGAAGGAAACCAGAATGAAGCTCAGCGAGCACATGCTGCTAGGCATGGTGCATGCAGTAGGGCTTGTGGCTAGGCGCTGGCCGGTCTGAAATCCATCCCAGGCAAGAAGCCTGCTCCTTGAGATCCCTACATTGACCTCCTGAAAATGGATTCGCCAAGAGTAGAATCAACACTGCCACTGTAGGGCCTTCTCTATAAAATCCGAGCAGCCACCGTAGGGCTCTTGGCTAGGCGGCAGTCAAGGAGATCGCCTGCATCAACCTCCAGGCAGACTACGATCGATAGTTAGTTGGTCATGCCAATTTCCAAACTCACAGGCCTAGCTTGGTCCCCTGTGAGAAGTGAAGCATTTTGTAGTTGCTACCAATCCCCACCTACTGAAATGGTCGCTGCCTGCTTGTACTCGGAAGGAACACCAAACACCGACGCCTACGAGGGTGAACCCTTACCTGCGGCCCTCCCGAAATCCCCGACCCAGGTCAGCGTTCTTCACTCGACCGCCTGCAGCATCTGCGCAAGCTCCTTCGCACACAATGGTTCAGATATACCTCCCACCTGATACTCGAGTTCAGACTGGTCATGCTGTCTTCCAAGTCGCAGCAAGTAAGCATCTCCTGCTTTCCTGCTTACTTTGTTCCGGCCCTGCCACTGCTGCTCCTTGTTTGCTGCTTCTGCTACCTCCACAACTGCTTACAATGGTGTGAATGCTACTGTGACTGCCAATGCTGCTCATGCTCAGGCTATTACTGCCTAGAACTACCACTACTACTCCTCTTCCTCCTCTTTTGCCACCATTGCTAAATTAATGCTGCTGCTGCTGCTGCTGCTGCTGCTTCTACTACCTTTGCTATCTCCGTGCCTACTCCTGGTCCTACTCCGCCTGCTGCTCTGCTAGTGCTCTGCCGTTCTACAGCCACTGCACGGTGACGTGCTGCCACTACTAGGGCGGTTGATGATGAGGACAAAACTGATGATAAGTTCCAACGCCCCGCATGCGTACAGCTTGTTGACTGCATGATTGTGATGAAACAGGCACTTGCGTAATCGTGCCATCGACCCCTACTGGAAATTCGCTTTGTCCTTGTCGTGCGGTCCCGGGACGCCCAGATGGCTGGTGCCAGTATCAACGACGCCGCGGCAGGTACCATCCTGTTCTGCTTTGAGTTCAGCTGCCAGAGGCACAGCTTGCCCTGCTGAAGGCTTGCCTTGCAAAAGTCCATCTCCACGCCGCCGACGCGCACTGCCAGAATGGGCACAATCCTCAGTCTTGGCAGCTCTGACTGTCTTTTCGCGCGCCCAAGCGAAACTGCAGTCGAGTAGCCAGTAGCCAAGCTCGGGCATGTAGACCTGTGAGCTGGCTGATAGCTTGACGTCATCAAATCCGTATCCAACCATGCAGGTTTCAGTAAGCAGCTGAGCACTTGTTCAGCGCTGCGCAGAGAGGAGAGGCAATGAACAATTGTGTGCAGAGGCTTTATCAGGTATGGGCCGGATGAAACTCCATGGGACTCTTTTATCTATGGTCAGCAGCCAGATGACACGAGGAAAGCAAGCGCTGATTTGCCCCTGCATGCATGTAGTGCATAGGGTCAAGGTATCAGAGTTATGTTTCCAGGCTGCATTGAACCTTAATAGGGGATGGGGTGTATATATTCGATACATGTCCAAATCAAACCTGAAGGCCCGGATTTTTGACGCCGACTGCGACCTTGATTCATAACAAGGACCAGAAGGCTCTGTACGACGAACAGTTTCAAAGGAACCTTGCACGAATCTAGGTTCTACGCCACGAGCCGCTATGGCTTGCAATAAGCATGCCTATCTGAGTGGATTGTCTTCTTGCTTGAGCACCGCGCGGATGCATGCCAGGACGCTCAGGATGCCAGTTCATTTGGAAATTTGCAAAATGTCGTCATGATGTTACTGTACCAGCCTTGCAACCATCAAATACATTCCATGAAATTCCCCGTAAATGAGCTATGCCGGGTGCCCTGCCTCGCTCCAGCTCACTGGCTCAAGCCTGAGCGTAATGTTGTCAGCCACTCTGATTGTCTTCTACAACTGCTAGCTCTCAGCGCATCCTCTGGCCAACACCATCAGTGTGATTGCTATTCCTTCTGCAAATGCTAGTGCTATGTCCCTTGCTACAAGTAATTGGTAATTCACTGTCTGGCGCTTGCTTGGTCTTTGTCATCTTTCTCCCCTTCTCTCTCGCTCTCCCGTTCCATCCCGCCCACCTCTTAGGGGAAATGTGGTTGGGAATGCTCTCAAATGTACAACCTGCATACAGCAAACCAAAATTCAATTGTTGTGCGCACACATTTTTTGTTGGAAGAGTGACATGCTCAACACGCTGGCAACCGCGGGACGACATGCAAACCTGGTAAAATCCGGGTGAAGAACGAAAACCAAGTATGTGGCCAACAACTCACGCGAAATTGCCAAATCAGAAAAAACTGGCTAATGTGGGACGAAAGCAGCATGTTCTTGGAAATTTCGCCTAGGAGGCAGCCAACAAACAAACATTGTGTTCCGAGGACTGGCAGGGGTGGGAGGAAGCCCGCATCAGATACTATTTTCGCCCAGCTCCGCTAAGGCTGGCGTGAGCTTTATCCACATGAGCATGAGCACCTGTAGTCAAATCAAATATCCAAGCTTGCCTCAAACACCTGGTCCTGGAGAAGACTGTCCGCAAACAAGGAGCATGCGCCGGGAGTCAGCGCCACCAAATGCCACTTCAGAAGGCTCCACGTCCTGCAAAAAGAAGGAGCGCGTACAGTGATTGCTCAAGACAAGCCACTGATCAGTGTACGACACTTTCCTACCTGAAGCAGGACGATGCAAGATGTGGACTGATCTGTCCTCAAAAGCTTTAAGCCTCAAAAAAAGGATCTTGCGCATCCTGCTGCACCGCTGACAGTTTGTTTCCAGCACTGGAGGCTGGCATGTTCCAAACTACGATGATGCGCATGAATGCAATGACTTGCACCAGCGTCACAGCGTACCTTGCGCAAATACCGAAGCCATTAGTCAAAGCCATCCCCCAACAAAGCTCAAAACTAAGCTGCGCGACAAAAACCGTGGCACCGACTCCCTGAACCCAGGAGTTAGGGCCCGACCTCATTATCAGTCAGGAATACCCCGAAGTGAGGCTTCTGTGCCAGGCCATTGCGCACCAGCCTTCAGCCAGGGATTGGATTTGCGGCCAGAGTCGTAAAGACCAGTCGGCCCCAAGCCCATCAATGATGGGATTACTTGATCAGGGCACTTTGTTTCTCAACGTTGTTTGCATGCGGGATCGGTTCATTCGAGGCATGTGGAATAGCGCCAAGCGGTCATGGTCCGCGTTTTGAGGTGTTGAGGGATTTAAGGCCCCCAGTAGTTGCTAGTACTTGCCGGCAAACTCCCCTGAGTCATCCCCTCCCTTTTAGCTAGAACCTCATAGTAGTCGCAATATAACATTTGGAGTGGAGGTTTTTCTAGGCAAAGGGCATTCCAATGCTATACCAGGCGAAGGGATCGCCTGTTTGCTCTCTCGCCTTGCACAACGTGTACCATTCCATTTGCTCGCCTGCCTCCTTCCACCCAAGCTTCCATTAGCTTATACAGCTCTCAGAATTATAACCCACTATATGATCCCAGTTTCCATTTGATGTTCCCTCTTCTTTTCCATCTGTTCCTCCATTCTCCATTACTTTTGGGGCAATATTCAACCGTGTACTGAGCAATGCATTCCAGAGCACACATTTCTCTCTCGCAACACGCTTTCCTGCGCGATCTGCAGAAAAGGCCCTGGCAGTTGCCTCTGACCTCTGCTTTCCCATGCACTGTAACCCCCTGATTGCCAAGCTCATTCCTTCTGAGCATCCTGCAACCAAAGTGCCTCGAGAACTGAGCAAGAAAGCAAGAGTCATGCACTTCCAGGACCAAATTCTAACTACACGGTCCTAGCTAGAGCAGCATGAAGGGAGTTGTAGAACGGGCCAAAAAAAGGGATGGATCCGTTTCATAACAGTCAACTCCATAATACCAAGGAGGCCCAGTCAAATCTTTGTGATCTGCCGCTCGGTGCACAATGGGCGTCTTTGGCCGTTGCGCACTTCAAAAGCCCTAATCTGGCCAGTGGCACAGGCTTGCAGAACTCAGACCTGGCCCAAGCTCTGCATCCTTCAGGGGAATGCCAGCTCTAGGAAAGGTACATCTTTGCGCCGAGCACCTGCCTCAGTCGCCACTCTGATGCACTGATAAATCTGCCGGAGCCATGAGCGGCAGTGTCGATGCGTCACCTTAGCCAAGCTGCAGGACTGACTTGATTTAGGCACATCGTAATCAAAGCAACGTCAGAATTATCTGGAGAGAAAACATTCTGGACCTTACCCTCTTGCTTTTGTCGCGCACGGCGTATCTCCAAAAGGCGTCAGGGTAATTACATTACTACATAGCCGGCCCTCAACATTTTCATCGTCCAAGAGCAGGGCCTTGTATGAGCGACCGCCGGTACACGACAAGAACAGCGGTTGCCTTGGCGCTCAGAGGAGGAAAGCAGTTGGGGCACAATGAGCCATGCTCTCCTATAACCATCACGATGCCAAACACCTGTCTACTCTATGACGAAATTCTTGTGGGTGACTGGCCTCGCAGATCTAAGTGCCCTCTCAAGATCTTTCAAGCAATTCGTACTGGAATGTACTGGCCCCTCCCCCTTGGCAGAGAGAACGTGGGTGGCCCTTGGAGCCATTGGAAACTTGCACTGCGAGGTGCCAAGCTGAGAAGGCAGGTAAAGACTCCCGTGATCTTGGCCAGTGGCACATCCACCTGCTTTCGGCATTCGCAGCAGCAGGATCAAAATAGTCTATCCCCACAACATGCTTCCGGGCATGTCCATGAACTGGAATAGGACAGGAGTCACTTCATAGCACGAACTGCGACTGTCATTGTGCTCACACTGGGTGGGACACCACGAAGTAAGGGAGAAAAACGAGGAGGGTTCAGATTCGGATTGCGCAAATTGCTTTAGCTTCATGATGGTCAAAGTGGTGGTGAGGATCGAGAATTCCTTTCAAGGTTTCTGAGGCCAGTTGAAATTTCAAAGCAAATGGTAGCAAAAATTTCTGACTCTGTGACAGGAATCACTGTTGAACTATGAAAATTATTTAGAGTGGCGGTGGTGTTCTTCACCTGTTCAGTGCATCTGTGTCCATGCTGGTGTGAGAGTGGCCGGGGGTGTTCTTCAGCCGTGATGAGCCGACATGATACATGTAGGCAGGATGCAGGGCAGCGGGTCGGCAGGAGTACAGGGAGTACAGTGGGGCCATTGATCGGTCCATGATAAGCCCTTCAGCAATCTGGTATAGGGACAGCTGCTGGTCACGCACATCGTCATGTGAGCTGGCAAGCTCTGAATCTGCAATGTGTTCAGAACACCGTGTTTGAGCAGTTGCAAACGCGCCAGGAAAGGATTGAAACAACTGCTGCCAAGGGGCCGCCATAAGGGGCCCCGTGGACAAATCCAGAAGTGTGGTGTTGCCAAGCCTAGGTACAGAGCTTGCCACGGATTGGATGGGAGCACGTGCGAGAGCATCTGGTTTTGAGAGTGAGCTGGAAACACCCGCATGCCTCCGCTGCAAAGACTCTCTCAGGCTCTCACGAGATCAGGCTGCGGAGTGGAACGTCGGTACCTCCACGCGAGTCAGAATCAAGATTGAATCAAGTTTCCCTGGAACGTAGATGATGATCACTACAAGGGAACCTACAGCTTTACAGGTTATCTTTACCTCACTCTTGTCATGTACTTTCTAACGAGTTGCCTTGAGCCAATGGTCTCTACTCGACTCTGCAGACACATGGCTCTCTGCCATCCGTTGCAACCGCTTCAAAGTGACCCTTGAAATCAGACTTGATCTCTGATCTGAAGAATCTGCATACTCCATTAAAACGGTGCAAGATGCAGAGCAAGAGCTATGCACTTAAAAAGGCTTATGGTTCAAACGTTCTCGCGGTGCATCGATTGCTTGCACTGGAAGATTTCAACACGCACATCGCACAGCAGGCACTGCCTGACTGTGGTAATTCAAGCTTTGCATAGTAAGGTTCACACGTATGAGGCACAAATAAGTACATATATACTACTCAGTTACTACTCCATACTTCACAACTCAAGACTGCAAAGGTGCAGTGTCCACTGCCCGCGCAGCGCAGGCAGCCGGAATAGCCGAAGCAGTCAGAGTCGCGACGGCAACTGGAGACAAGCTTTGCACTGAAAGGGTTGTTGCTACGAGTAGGCAAGCTGGCTTGGCACTTTCCACGCACAATGACATGCTTCTGCTAGGAACAGCGGAGGAACAGGCAGAAGGTCTTGGCGTACGACAAATCCACACAAAGGGATCAGGAACTTTGAACTTAGAATGGTTGTCGAAAATCTGCTCGGAACCAGGTTGTAAAGACATCAAGCAACTCTGCGTTCAGGATCGTTTAGGTTGGGTGCTTCATCCTCTCGTATGTACCGCAGCGGTCGTTTAAAGCCAAGCGGGAGCAGCACTTCCAACAACCTGAAGATACGTGATAGGCACCCAATGCCCTTCTTGAAACCAACCAGCCAGACGCTCGCGATTTAGATACCCCAAAGCGGGCGAACCTTGGTCCCCTCTGGCCGCTGATGCAATGACCGCCTTGAAACGGCTACGGAGTGGCTGGCTTGGGTGCAAAAATTGCCTGGCAAATAAATCTTTAAGGCTGCAGAAAGTTTCAGAAGATTAGGGCTGGAAACATGGTTGGTCATCCTGTGTCCTCCCCCCTTTTGATACCGCAACATACCGCAACTATAGCCGGCAGCCTTTCGGCATGATGCCAAAAAAGATGAGGTGGCTACGGGGCCGGCCGTCACAAAGCCACCCCGTACAGTAAGCCCTGAATTCTCAACTCTCCTCCTAGTGCACCTGCTTGACCACTGCCACCTCCGCTGCTATGACCACTTCCGCACACTGCGTAGAAGCCTTGCTGCGCGGCTTTTGGCCGCCATGCTGGTAAATCTTGGCAAATGTACGGCTCAGAGTAAGAGTCCCAGCATTTCTTCACTTGCCCATGCCTCAGCCTGCGAAGGACACCAATACTTGCAGTGATTGCACCATGCTCCCACTCTTCCGTGATCTGCCGAAGCCCAAGCAACGGTTTACATCCGCGAGATGCCATCGGCCACCCTTGTCCTCTCCATACAGGGCATTCGAAAATTGGATGCATGAGCCGCAAAGCAGGTTTTGCAACTTGTTCTGCCACATCACGTCTCAGCGTTGCAGGCATGACGGGGGGATAGCATGGGCATGGTACCTGCACCTGGGGCGCCATATCACAGTACTTCATTGTAAAGAGGATGCTCAAGCAACCTCAAGCCCCACTCTGCGAGATCCTGGCAGGCAGACAGCTGCACCTGCTTCTGCGTGCCCTCGGCTCAGATTAAGGCTGACAACTGCCCAGACGTGTGCTACACTGCTGTGTCGATTGCATGTTCGGGGGCTGTTGGGCGAGAACATGTCCCAACTTGCAGACCAAGTTCAAACTCGAACACGCAGTAGCCGGCACGCTGCAGTTGCCTTGCTTAGCACAAATCCTCTGAATGTCAGTGTCAATGCATGTCACTCCGCAAATTGGGCTGCAGAGGACTTTGTGGTCAGCCTCTGCTAGGATTCAGCCGTTTGGCTGGCGTCGTGCTGGCAGAGCCTGCTTCATCTAGAAGGAACTTCTAGCGCACAAAGGTCGCCGGGCCACGAAGCCGTGTCCACCAAGTCCAAGCCTGCAGCACGGGCGCCGTCCATGACCTTGGCACAAGCCACCCCCAAACGTATCTGGAGCCCTCCAGGCCCCAATCCAAGCAAAAGAAACCACCCAACCCACAAATTCAAGAGCCAGCCCTCGGAGGCCCACCCCGAAAGGTCTTCTGATTCCAGGTCATCATGCGACTCAAAAAATCCAGAACACATCGAAAGGCATCAGCCCAGAGGCTCAGAACTCCAACTGTTCAAGAATCTTTCCACCCCGATGCATCTTCAGAAGACAAGCCAGGCCTCTGCATGTGACTCGAAGCATTATCAGAGTCCTAGAGCCGAGCCTCCAATCACCCCAAAAAAGCCAAGTACTCAAGGAATGCTCCGCTTAATCACAGGGCACTTTTCTACGTCTCTCGGGTAGCCAGAAGCCTTTGACCCTTTGGAAGCTGGGCTGTCAACCTGAAGCGGGCCTTCGGCCAGAGAGCAGACCTGGCAGAAAGCTTTAGCTTCGGATGTTCTCTGGGCTGCAAGCCCAAGGGCCAAGGGTGCCAGACTGCCCCCATCATCCTACCCTGATGAGACCCGGGTAGGGCTCTAACACGTATTCTGCCACGACGGCATGCTTCATGGAACGATGAATACGAACACCACCAGCTAAAGAAGTCCAGTCAGGTTTCTGCTGGCTTGTGGAGTCTCCCTAGTAGCTCTCACCCATTCTCCACCTGCTGGAAGAAGTCATCTGCGTCGTCCACACCGGCGCAGCGGCCATGCTTCTCCCATTCGTGCCGCTGGAACCTCAAGAATTTGGTCAGCACTACTATGAGATAGTACTATCACTAATGAACGCACTTCGACTCGCCAGCAAGGAGCGCCTGGAGCACGTCACAGGGTAACTTGAGCATTGTTGTTTTGCCTTCCTTTTTGTTCCTGAAAAGGGAAGCCAATGCAGACTATGCAGGATCGCTGCTTCCCCTTCATCTAACCACCAGCACGGACTACGCGGCAGCCTTCAGCTCTGCAACATTCTCTGCAGCGCCCTTTTGTCTGTTAGACCACTGACACTACATGCACATGCGTGCACAACGCAGACAAAACAACCTACACACGCCTGGGAGCACTACGTCGAGCAGGACCGAGACTTTGCGGACACTGTCACAGGTTGATCTCGTAGCTTCGGCGCTATGGAGCAGTAGGTCGTTCGGAGACTTCATCCGCAAAGAACTAACACGGCGCACAATGAAACATTGGCCAGGATGCGATATCGCCGAGTTGTAGGAGCCTTGAGTGTTGTAGCCTTGCAGCCAGACTTTTCGGAACAGTCGCTGAAAAAAGGGTCGGGACCAATCACCCCTCCCGCGAGTGAGATGTGCCCAGTCCAGGCTCAGGGTTCGACTGCATCTACTTTCGTACCATAGAGCCTACGAACCCCCAAGCATGATCCAGACCAAGGCAGGCCGCACGGGTAGATTTTGTGCGGCGCAGCTGGGTCCTGCAAACACCACAGAGTGTCGCCGCTATTGGGAGAACACGCTGAAAATCAAAAGACATTGCACGGACACTCCCCTGTGCTAAAGACGACTGCCGGGACTGCACCAGGTGGCCTGCACCCCTACATAGATACCGTAAGCCTGCCAACATGATGGAAATGGGCACACTCTTTCGGTCATCTGGGAAGCTCCTTGAAGCTTGAACAAATACCGATACCGCTCTCAAAGAACACCCTACTTCGGTGGCCCCACTTGAAAGGCAGCATGCAGGCACCCAGTCAAACCCGTCCTCCGGATACTCGCACTTTGAGGTGCCGAAGTTTGGGGTCTCTGGCCAGAGGCCATGAACCACAGGACTTAGCAGCATTTCCACAAGTCAGCGCAAAAAGAGGATTACTCAAGGAGAATGGCTAATTACATGCATGTCCCTGAGCTCACTCCCACCCTTTCCGGGCATCCACGCGTTGAGCTAAGGGAATCAGCGTCCCATCTTAAGGCAGTCCATATCATGCGGCGGTGTCATGCAAAAGGAGGGGTCCGGCTTCTCTGCAAGCGCCGAGGAGCTGGGCATGATTGTATGCTCCACTTCCCATTCCAGTCTCCAGAGCTAGCACGCCGCATACCTGCCGCAGGACGTGGTATTTGACACTCTTCACACATCGTTGTAGACACGTTCTGTACCCTGCTTGGGGCTTCAGAACTATGGAAGCTCGCTAATTAATGCTAATTCAAAGGCAGCAGAAGCAGCCCACAGGATTTGGCCTTCTGCCTCCAGGCAATGCGTCAGAAGACAAATTTCCCACCCCTTCTGAGCGTACAGCTCGCCAAGAACATAGACCCCAACACCCTGTGAACTTTCAGAGGCTTGCCGTAGCAGATGAAGGGCCCACAAATGCAAGCATACCATTTGCTCAGAAACATGTGTGCGGCCTCCACGCCCCTTCCACATTCCAGCTTGTGTCCATGGCTCCTTGGCTTTAGGTAACAAAGCACCTTGGTATTATATTGAGAGATGAGAATTAAAAAAAAAAAAAAAAA